AAGTACCAGTCACTCTCTAATTGCTTTATGGCATATAGTCCTGGGGCTCACCATTTGTTGGGCTCATGGCTTCAGTTAGAAGATGGGTGCATCTACCTAGGTAGGTTCTGTAGGGGGAAACACAAATCTTCCTTTTTCTTCCCAGTGACTTTCCCACATTTTCTCCAATAATTTTTCCTACTCTCAATCGTAAGGTTTGAGGGAAATCATCAGAATCTTACAAAATCATTCATAAATATTCACTTAAGGCCTAATGTACCTCAAGCATTTTACCAGTCTTAGGTACATGGTAAGCCAGATGCAGTCCTGCACAGGAAGACTGCACCACAAACAATAGCTTCTGCGAATGGAGGGCACTGTGTTCTACATGCATTATCACACTTCTGTCTCCTCATTTTACAAGATGCCCAAAGTCACACAAGTATCAATGGGCTGAGCTTGAACATGAGTGCAGGTCTTTCTGAGATAGGATCTCAGAGCTTGGCATGTTTGCTGCTGAAAGGTAGCAGTTCCTTTTTACATGGCTACAATTTCTTCTGAATACTTTGATTTACAAATAAAGAGTTCTTTGAAGCATAGCCCTAAACAAATTGTGGTAGACCGCTGGGAGAGAACAGCTGCAGAAAAATAAGGCCAGATGCTCTGGGGGTGATCAGACGGATGTGTGATGCGTTGATGTGAAGCACAGGAAACAGTGGTAGGGTGAGCTGATAGGTATACTGCAGATTAAAACACCTAGAGGCCAAACTATAGCGGAAGCAGGCCTTAAATATTTTAGCAGGTGTTATCTCTGTCAGGTTATACAAATACAACTAAGATGTAAATGTATTTTTTTTCTGCTCAACAGAAAGCACAATTGTTCAGCCCTAAATTAGTGCTGGGATAGTCAATACATGCACTTTAAAAATCTTTTTACTGGGCCTCCCCGGTGGCGCAGCGGTTGAGCACTGGGTTGCGAAGCTGCCCGTAGCCTCTGCAGCACCGGTTCAATCCCCAGCTGCTCCCCGGCCACCAGAGGAGGGTCCCACATGGCGCACAGACCTCTCCTGCCGCCCACTGCTCCCCTCAGCAGTGTACTTCGGTCCTTCTGCCTGCTCTGCTCCCCGCTCTGGCTCTGGTGAATTCTCTCACCCTCCCGCGCTTCTGACTGTAACCAGTGCTTGTATAAATAATAAATAAATCTTTAAAAAAAAAAAAAATCTTTTTACTTTTTTTTCTAAAGCATTTTTGATGTGATAAGGTGAAAAATCCTTGGGATTAAGAATCAGGAGGCCTAAATTTTTGTTGATATATTGCATAGTTGGTGTCTTGGAGTCCAGCTTTCAATGGCATTGTGTTTAGGCCTCCACAAGCCAACAAGTAATTGTCAGACACCAACAGTGTCTGAAAATTCAACTCATTTCTGACACTCTCGAGTTAAGAAAACCACAGATCCACAGGTTAAGAGCTCAGAGTTTCCCAAGAGCACCTTCCATAGCAAATGCTGGCCCCAAACCCAGGTTGCCAGCCAGGTTTCTGACCAACCTGCTATAGACTGCAGGTTCCCATGACCTCCTTAGACTCCAGGTTTTTCTTACAAATCCAGATTATTATCTGTGCTTCTGACTTGTTATAAATCAGAGGATCTCAGGGAACCCTCAGTTCAATTAATTTACTAGGATGGCACACAGAACTCAGGAACCCTCTTTATTCACTAGATTAACCATTTATTACAAAGGATATTAAAAGATACAAATCAACAGCCAGATGGAAGAGATGAATAGGGCAAGGTTTGGGGAAAGGGTGGAATCCATGCTCTCTCCAGAGGTGTCATTCTCATTTTCCCCAAGTCTTCATAGTTCACCAACCCAGAAGCTCTCTGAACCCCACTCATCCTGAATTTTTACAGAGGCTTCATTTATAGGCACAATGGATTAAATCATTAGCTACTGGCCATTCAACTCCATCTCCACCTCTTCTCTCCTCCCTGGAGGTCTGGAAATCCCACCCTCTATTCATACTGGTTTCCCTGACAACCATCCCTCCCCCCCCCCAGCCCCCACCCACAGGAGTTTTCCCAAAAGTTATCTTCATTAACATAACAAAAACACCTTTAACACCCTCTGCACTTAGGAAATTCCAAGTCTTCTGGAGGAGTTGTGAGCCAGGCACTAGGGATGAAGACCAAACATGTATGAGAAATATATTTTGGTCATTTGCATGACCAAATATATATATTGCCTAATAAATTATGTCACGGATATGCACAACTAGCTTACTTGTGTGATCTTTTCAAGCCCCTTTATTTTATTCTAGGTTTTCTCCTTTCTAAAAAAACGAGAATTGGGCTACTGAATCATAAATTCCAAACTGCTCAATGCTATGATTTAGCAAGGACATGCATTGGATCTACTATTGCATTAAACAACTTGAGGGTCAGAAGCAATTACAAGGCACTTTTCTTGTCCTTTAGACTTGTTTTCTAACAGTGCCCAAAACCACATGAAGCTACTGAACACTTGAAATTTGACTGGCATAACTGAATTTTTAAATTTAACACAATGTTTAAAATCATTTCAGTTTATTTTAACTAAATTTAAATTAAGAAAAAAATGCTGTACCAATTATTGAAAATTTTATGTCTGAAACAACTTAGGGATGTGACCTTCCTTTTTCAACAGTAAATTTTACACTATCTATATACAGCCCAATTCTTTCTGATGAAAATTTAGAATCTGAATTGAGATGTGTTATAAATTTAGTCCAATATGAAATAAAGGTTGTAAAATATCTCATTAATTTTCATATCGTTACATGTTGAAATTGTAGCAGTCTTTGGCTTAATATACTAAGTAAATTATAGTGTTAAAATTTAATTTAATCTGTTTTTACTTTTTAAAACATACCTGCTAGAACATTTAAAATGACATACTTGTCTTACATAACATTTCTTTTGGATTTGTTTGAAAGGTTATACTCATAAACTGTGGTGGGCAATTTGATTGGCAATCTAGACCCTAGTAAATCATGGGGGCTTGGGAAAAAATTGTGTCACCCTCTGACATGTACTTGTCTTAGTTGTTTAATTTTTTAAATTAATTTATATGTATTTTACATCATTGTTCTTTTTTTTTTTTAAGATTTATTTGTTTGTTTATACAAGCACTGGGTACAGTCAGAAGCGCGGGAGGGTGAGAGAATTCACCAGGGCCAGAGCGGGGTGCAGAGGAGGCAGAAGGACCGAAGTACACTGCTGAGGGGAGCAGTGGGCGTCAGGAGAGGTCTGCGCGCCATTGGGACCCTCCTCCCGTGGCCAGGATCGAACCGGAGCTGCAGAGGCAGCTGCCGGCAGCTTCGCAATCCAGGGCTCAACCACTGCGCCACCGGGGGGGGGGGCCCCTCATTGTCCATTTTTAAACAAGGTTTGCTGTTTTTTTTCCCCTCAGGTGTAGTCCCCATAGAATTTCCTCCACCAATGCACCCATGCACCATCACCACAGTTCCTGTGCTGCTCTCTCCCTGTCAGACCAATCCCTCTCCCTCCTCTTCCCCTGCAGGATGTCGCTCTGATACCTGTAGGTTCCCATCATGAGTACATGAATGAAAGGACTGGAACAGTTTTATTGATTTGTGTACTTTTAGATAACAATAGCAGAGAAGTCCATCCAGTACTTGCCTGCTCCCCTCAAGCAGATGCCATTAATGAGTGCAACAGTTTATGCATTTATATTGGGATAAATGGAAGAGCAAATGGATGAACTGATGATGGGATTTGCTGGTTAAACAATAAAATAAACAATAAACAATAAAATCTCCTATTTAAATGCTGACTGAACGCTAAAGTCTTTTGAAAGAGGATGCTTCACCTCCCAATGTCTATTCCCCAGTCTTCTGCAAATATTGTAAATAAACTCCACAACTGATCTTATTATTAACAAGTTTGCATAGAATTTTCATTCTTCCAAGAGGTAAGAGATCCTGAGTGGTCTGCTTTGACCCTTCCTTTTTAAATATTTGTATTATTATTTTTAAAATTTTATATATGTTTTACATTATTTTTCATTTTTGCGCAATGTATGCATTTTCATCTTGGTTATCCGTTCCCATACAATTCCCACCCACCTTGTTTTGCTCCTACTCCCTCTCACCCCCAATCCGCCCCAGTTTGTCTCTGGTTTATAGTTACTTGTTGATTTTTACTTTATTATAAATTAGTCTTTTCCCCTTATTTAGGTTTTCTAAATTCCTTTTTTTTTTTTCCTTTAACACTCTATATGCAAATCATTAATTCATCCTTTTCTGACTCTGGACTCTCCCAGCAGCAGTGTCCTCAGGCCTGCCTCTGAGGGAGCAGTCATTAGCAGCAAGACCCAGGCTCAACATATCCCCAAGCGAGGGCTGATGCAGGTCCAGTTGTCACAAAACGGGCTCACCATTTGCGGGCGAGTAGATGGATGACCCAAAAGGTCAGAAAACAGGTCTCTGGCAGGCACACAAGATTTAGAATGCGAAGCAAGCGGCTGGGACCAACTGCTTCCTTCTTTCCAGCTCGCAGATAATCACAACAGTGAGGCGGCCTCTGGGAAGGCGGCTGCGCGCCTTGAACACTGGCCCCACTCCACCCCGCAGTTAGTTCCCCCCGCGCCCCACCTGCTGCGCAGCCCCGCCCCGTGATCTCGGACTGGGCTGGCCCCAGCCACACCCTCTGCATAGCCGGAGCCGGCCGCGGGCGTCTCCCCGCCCGTCACGTGACGACCCCGCGCCCCGCGCCCGTGATTGGCTCCCGGGGCAGAGGGGCTGGGCTCGAGCACCTAGTCCTGCCCCCTCCCCCCATTTGCAGCAGTTTTCAAACTTTAACTGTAAACCGTGAACCGTGGCCGCCGTCTCGGCCGCGGTTGCCCGAACGGAGCCAGCTCGCCGGGGCCGGGTCGCCACCGCCGCGCGTTTCACGGACGCGTAAAAGTGGGTCCTGCCCGGCTCGGGGCTCCCGGCGCCGCACCGACCTGGAGCTGGAGCGCGCGTCCTGCAGAGCCCGCGGCGTGGGGCGCGACGGGAGCCCCCTCGGAGGGGCAGCCCCGGGAGACCGGCTGCGGCCCGAGCGGTCAGTGTCGCCCCTCGCGCGCCCGTGGCCCCGGGGTGGGCGGGTGGCTGGGCGCTGCGGCTTCATCTCCGAAGCAGGGCGCTCGGTGCTGGGTCCAGAGACCCCCAAACGTGGGCGGGGGTCCGAGGAGGGCCCCCCAGCGACGTGGGGCGCAGCCGCGGGCCCCCCCGGACGCCCGGCTCGGCGGGGGTGGACCCGACTCTGCGGCCTGTCAGGTGTCCCGACGGCTCCGGCCAGTCGCGAGCTCCGGCGGAGCCTCCGGCGGACTGTGGGTGTGGGTGGGGGCCGGGGGTCCTCGCAAGGAGCAAGTCTGAGGTGGGGTGGGGGGACCCCGCGGCCCCGCTCACTCGTGCGCCCGCCGCGCCCGTCCACCCCACGGGGCCCTGGGTCGGGATCTGGACGCGGGGACGCGTCCTGCTCGCTGCTGCCTGTGGTCTGGAGAACGTTCGTGCTCCTCTTGTGGGACGATTTTTAGTTACTGCTTGTGAGAAACTAAAAAAATAAATAAATAAAATAAATAAAATAGTGACTAGACAAGACACATTGCAGCTGTTTTGCTGATGGTCCGCGATCTGGTCTTGGACGCCATGTAAACTTGTTCAGGGAGCCCCGCGCGTCCTGCAGCTGTGCGACGTCTGCGATGTGGACGTTTAGCCCAGTTCTTTGTTTTATTGTAGAGAAACACAGTTTGCTTGGGTTCCTTTGTAGGAAGAAGTAGAGACGAAGTTGAGAGAGATTTTCAAGGCAGCTGGGAGCTGATCATCTTTTGCCCGTGGCGGGACGCTAGGCACCTTGCCATCAATTTGCAGATTGACATGAAGAAAAAAGTAATATTTAAAAACTCAGCCACATACTGGTGGAACTTCAGTGATATTAGTTTTGCGTGTCCCAGGCACTGATTGTTTTGCTGACGTCATGTTTACATTTGTGGTACCGGTGACATGAAAACGCAAACCTGGTGACAGGAAATAGCGTAGCTGGCGTGTGTACCTTGCCGTGAAGTTGGATGTCGGGGGCTCCTTTGAATTCTTGACTCCTGGGGAAAAAGTGCGCAGAAACAGCTGGGTCTATTCTGATGACTAGGCCAGGGACAGCATATGCAAACTGGCATTTAGAGTCTGGGAGTACCATTTTATTAAAGGAAAAGAGGATAAGCTTACTTTCTCTCTGATACACCATTTTATAGTTTCGTAGTGAACTGTGGAAGTAGCTGCAACAACTTCTGAAATGTTTGTTTTATAAACATTAAACTACATACCCATAGAATTGTGTGATTTTGAGGAAGCTGGTCCCTAGAGGCAGTGACCCAGTTTAAAACCTCTTCCCCTTTCATTCTTCTCTGAGCAAAGCTCAGTCTTAAAACTTTTCTTGAATATTTTAATAATTGCAGTTGTTATAAAGAGCTGCTGTAGTTTTTGAGATACATATCTTAACAGTTTAGATCATTTTCCTAAATTATGGCTCTAAAATTGAGGTGAGATATATCTCCATGGCAATATACGTAAGCTTGGATAGTAAAATTTGTGTAATAATTTGAAGGCCTTTCTTTTGTGTGTGTGTACAGAATGACTGCACTTTCTTCTAGCCTTATGGAATAGTGAATTATAATTTGGTTAAGTTAGAATTGTTCTTTGGAGAGCTGACAGAATATTAACAAGATGCAGGCATTTTATGGCATGTTTGTAATCAAGCAGTTTTTTTTGAAGCTTCCACAAACAGCGTTTTACTGATGTTAAGTAAACATTTTAACATATTATTAAAACTTTGTTTTGAAGCTGTTTGATAATTATGAAAGAATTTCCTTATCATAATTTACTTGGTTTAATATTTTAAAACCCAGGAATTAAGGAAACCAATTGCTTAACACTTTCACTTCTTAAATTCTTAAAATTGAATATATAATATCTTATAGTAGATATTTCTTGTATGTAAAATTGGCAGCTGAGAGCAGTGGTCCTAGTTTTACTGCCTCTTAAAAGATTTTGATTGACTCTTGTCTTTTTAAAAATCCTTTTACATTATTGTGTCAGAAACATTGACAGTGATTGTGTGCTTACTTTCCACACGAGAAAACTTCAGATGTTTTTGTTGCTGTTTTCACACTATTGATTTCAAAATTCAGTGCTTTTTTTTTTTTTTTTTTGTGGGACCCTCGCAGGCAGCCTGGGAACGAACCGGCGTTGCAGAGGCTGCAGGCTGCAGGCTGCCTGGCAGCCCAGCGCTCAACTACTGCGCTGAGGCAGGCCCAAAATTCAGTGCTTTTTTTTAGTACTTTATATTCTGATAGACTATTATCAAAGGATTTTCTTTGAATATTTCAATTGAGAAATGTACTTATAAATTAAATTACAAGTACATATCTTTATCTAAATATGTTATAGTAAATTTGCAAATTTCAAGACATAATCTCTTAAATTTTTAAAATTTCTCTGACTTATCTTTTTTCAAATACATTTGACCTTCCACTTTAATGCCATTTTAAAACTAGCTAGTTTTTTTAATAATTATATGCAACATGTTATATGCATTCTCATCCTTTGGAATTTCTTCCCCAAAATAGGGTATAATTATACTTTATGTATTTAAGATTTTAATATTAATAGTGAGATGGTTGTTTTACCTTTAATCATCAATGGATTATAAACCTTTTGCATTATAATAGTTAGCAAAAAGTATTTCAGAGATACTATAAGTAAAAAGTATATAGTACTTTATTTTGCAACAAAAAGTTAATTTTCCATTTGATGAATGATAAGCACTGTGTTTGTTGGCCTACCATATTTCCTTTTTTCAACATCTCTTCTTCCTGGTTCACAATTAAAGGATTTAATTCCCTTTCAGAAGGGAGCTGCAGGCCCTACTGTCTTGGCACAAAATCAGGCCTAGGGTCGCAGCCTGGGAGGTCAGCGCCTGGATAGTATATGTTAGACTGGACTATAGTTTAGTTCCTATTGTGATTTTCAAAGGATTAAATTCTTGAATTATGCTGTCTTTCAACTTTACAAACAGGAGCAACAACAAAACTTGTTAGTAGAATATGTAGAAGGAATGTAGTCTTTCCCTGAAATTGAAAATCATTATCATCCTTATCTCCACACCAGTACTTTTACTTCTAAACTCACTAATAAAACATGGATCCTTCTGCCACACTAGAAGAAAATTCTACCTTTATTCTGATGAATGCTTGATAAATCTCCAGTTCCTATGTTTCCTAGAGAAAACTTGGTAGGTATAAATGGCAGAAAGAGGAATTTTTCCCTGTAATTTTGTGCCTTACTTTGTTTCCCATTGCCTTTTGAACTTACTTCAATGAAAATCTAGACTTATCAATCATTAATAAGATAAGTATTTTAATTACCTGATTGAGGTAGCTCTTAAAATATTGCTGTTCTTATTTAGGTATTTATGTAAAAATAGGTGGCCTTGTGGTCTGGAAAGGAAAATACAATAGAATGATACCTATTTCATGAAAATATGTAATAAAAAAAAATTATCCATGTTTCCAGACCTTGTGGCAATCTTATTGAGAATTGAAATTGTCCATTAGCAATTTAGAATACTTATTTTATTTAGCCAAATACTGAATCAAGACAGACACTAGCTGTAGTTTAAGCTCTAATACTGTAACTTCAAGATAAATGTCAGGTTTTACTAAACCCTTGATGTTATGATATGTACCTAAAAATTCTCACTGTATCTCATAATTCTTATAATTCAGTTCATCAAACATTTTTTGAATTCCTCCCAGGTGCCAGACACCATACTGGGAATTTAGGCAGAGAAGTGAATGGTTGCTGCCCTTCAGACACTAAACATGATTGCAGTGTAACATGTTATTTTGAGATAAAGAGATATCCTTCTATCTGAAGCATAAAGGAGAGACCACATTTAGCTCTATGAGTTTCCGACATATCTTCCTAAGGGAAATGAAAAACTTTGTTGAGCTATGAAGGATGTATAAGAAGAGTTTGCCATTTAAGGAAAGGTAGAAAGATGTTTGAGGCAGAAAAGTGTAAAAGAGATCTAGAGGCAAAATGTGAGATATGAGTGGGCTGGTAGTACTGGAGAGCTAATGAATAAATTAAAACAGACAATTCTGTAGATGTTTTTACTTACCGTATATCAGATATTCAATTTTTATGAAATGTTTTTGTTAGCTTTAAAATGAATATCATAATGAATAGTTTTTAAATTGAGAATAGTTATTATTTTTTTTGTTTTTTTGTTTTTTTAATTAATTAATTTATTTTTAAAGATTTATTTATTTATACAAGCACTGGGTACAGTCAGAAGCGCAGGAGGGTGAGAGAATTCACCAGAGCCAGAGCGGGGAGCAGAGCAGGCAGACGGACGAAGTACACTGCTGAGGGGAGCAGCGGGCGGCAGGAGAAGTCTGCGCGCCATGTGGGACCCTCACCAGGTGGCCGGGGATCGAACTGGCACTGCAGAGGCTGCAGGCAGCTTCGCAGCCCAGCGCTCAACTACTGCGCCACCAGGGAGGCCCGAGAATAGTTTTTAAATCCCTATATAATAATAGGGATTGTTTGTCTTCTATTCCGTAGTGTCACATTTGCTTTCTCCCTTCAAATCAAGGCCCAGATCAAACCTAAAATTTTCTTCTGTTCCTTCCTTCACGCATCTAGATCTGGAATTCTTTTTGTAATTATTGTAATGGGAGTTAATGGATAAAACTTTGAAAATAGGTTTAATATTATTATTCCTATTAGTAATATGTAATCAAAAGCTTACTTGTATCTTTTTTTACCTACTTTCTGTTTCTAATATCTGTTGGTGTCTATAATTGTGTATCAACACACATACACAAATTTACCCACTGATTTCCTTGAAATTTTTTTATTCATGTAACCTAATGTGTTATGAAATGAATATCAAGTGGCGTGAGACATGCAGGTAGTTGAAATCAGTTATAGGTCTGTGAATTGTGGCAAAAGACAATGGTCTGAGGATTGTTTATTGAACTTGAAGAGAATTTGGTGGGCAAACTTAGGAAGACGCAGGAAGGAAAGAGAGAGAGATGATTGATAACCTTTGTGTACCCAAGGATTAAATCTTATGTATAGGGCAACCATGTTTGTGGAGAGTTTGCTGGACAAAGGGGGGCATTCCTGCTCCACTCTCTGCAGAACTGGCCAAAGGAAAGGAAATAGAAAAATTTCTAGGTTGTGGCAACTGGTCAAATGCATTAAATAGAAGGGAAATGCACGTAAGGGATGCTACCTGGGTACCTGAAGTATTTTGCATTATAGATACATTAGTAATAAGTAGGTTTCAGTTTCGTTCATCAGAAATGTACCATTTGTTCTGAGACATGGCTTGTGTGCCAACATATTCAGAGCCAAAGTGAAGTATATCACATTTCAAAAATGACTTTTATTGTAGCATATATTTTCAAAGCAGCCTTTTGCCCAACACTGTTTTCAGCTACATTTATAGTCATACAGATACATTCATCCATTATGATGATTAACAGTGTATGTGAGAAAGAATCTTGAGAATTGTAAACTTACTCTGGTAAGAAAGAGGTTTGTATGTTGAAATAGTAGGGTACAGCTACTGAACTTGGTTGGAGGCTGTTTAGGGAGGAGTATCTTTGGGTAGAATATTAATTCCTATGGAACCATTGTGAAGTATTCTCACAACTAGCTCTGTACCAGTGCCATTTTATGAGTTCACCATTTTTTTAATTTTTAATCTAGATTTCTGCAAGATAGTTTCTATTATGTACACTTTTGTCAGCAGACTTAAAGCTTAGCATTAGTAATCAGGGAAATGCAAAATAAATCATGACAAAAATCCATTTCACCTTCATTATACTAAAATAGTAAAAACTAAAAGTCTGAATGGGTAAAGGGGGAAGCAAAAATCTTAACCCGGCAAATGTTGGTAAGAAAACGATAATACCACCCATCTAGTGCTAAACTGGGGATGGAAAGAAGGGTGTGACTACAGATGTGTTTATGATCTTTTATTTTTAATTTAAACAAGACACGATAAAATAATGAGAGCTGAAAAAGCAGATGTTTGTTATGATATTTGTATTCCTTCCTATAGAGCTCTTCGTACTTGGTAGGCTCGGTACAAGGCTCTAACAAAAGAAACTCTAAGACCTATGTAAGTTTCTGAATTTAGTACTGAAACATAGATAGTCTGTGAAATAAGTTTTATTTCTTTCAGTCATTCACTTGTTAGTAATACAACTCAGAAAATGTGAACTCATTACCAAATTTGTTTGACCATAAGAAATTCAGTTTAAAATGAATAATCATTGTCAAACTAGATGAGATTACCTTCTTCTGTGAAGATAAAACTTTAAGAATGAAAGTTGAAGAATGAAATTAAATGATTGCTTGTATAATAATATTAGTATAACTGTTTGTTAGAAATGTGGGAGGTCATACAGAGTTTTTACAGTAATTTTATTCTGAAACGAAGTCAGTAACTGTTCAAGTGCCAAAAGGTGGTAACAGTTTATGTGTGCTTTTGTTTTTCTTGTGGGTAGCATGTACTCTTTAAATCTTCCTCCCTTTTTTTTTGGTTATATCTCTCTTATACCTATATTGGAGTTATGCAATGTAATACACATCCTGTCTGAGATAACATCTCTCCCCCACTTTAATTATATTTAAGTTATATTCTGTATCTTCTCTTTTTTTAAATAGGTAAAAGTTATCCACTGAAAAAGCTTATCCAGGCACCATCTAACATGTCAAGGAGAAGATTTGATTGCCGAAGTTTTTCAGGCTTGCTAACTGCAACTCCTCAAACACCAATTAAAACAGAAAACTTTAATAATTTTTATACACTTACTTCTACAGAGCTGGGGAGGTAAGGAAGCTTTATGATACATACATTATTTTAGGTTTCTGTTCTTATAGTTGTGTAAAACTCACTTGATCATTATTTAACAAAGATTAGAAAGAAAGTTATCACCCTGTTGTTATACAGGTCTAGTCTTAATGGGCTTAGAAATCAAACCTGTAGAGGATTAGTGAGTGTTCTTATTTGAGAATGAGCTTGGGAAGTGGCAGTTTAACATAAATGAACTGCTATGTTCCCATGTAGGCTCAACCATTTATGAACTGTACAGCCTTATTTAAATTTCTGTGTTTCTTGGTACTATAGTTTTCTCCTGGGAAAACTGTTGATAAACATATGGGGTGAGTATTAAATTAGATAATATTTAAAAATGCTAGTACAGTCCCTAGAATGTACATAATATTGCCAATATCTTACCATTTAGAATGCAACAAAACTTTATTGAGATTGACTAAGATTTCATTAGAAGTTCTGTTTCCTATACTTACCTGGCAGGGGAGATACCATGATCATGAAGATGGTTTTCCCAGGGCGAGGCTTATTCATTGCACTCCGGATGTCTGACCCTTGCGATTTCCCCAAATGTGGGAAACTCGACTGCATAATTTGTGGTAGTGGGGGACTGCGTTTGTGCTCTCCCCTGTATTAAAAAAAAAAAGTTGTTTCCTTTATTCAAAAGCCATGTCAGAAATAAGTGCCATGCAGTGTCATATAGCATATTAGTAAAAACAGACTGAATTGGAAGTTCTGTGGACCTGTCATTAATTTGGATCTGAAATTGAGTTTTACTTAGTTGCATGCTTTCCTTTTAAATTGAGAGAAAGGACTAGATGTCTCCAGATTTCCTTCTATTGCAAAAATGTGTAGAAACTGCTTTGAGCAGGTAGTTAAATATGCAAAGCCTTAAACAGTATACACAATAAAGAGAATTCTTTTCTATTTTTCCAAGTTACTATTTTGAAATTCTCATGTATTAAACTAATTTTGCAAAGTAAGGGATATTATGGGAGGGAGAAATTCTATACATTTTTCTTACAAGGTTTTGGAGAACTAAAACTCTGATAAAAGCAATATTAATAATAAATTGTTTTATGATAAGTTGCCATCATAATGATAAAATTGAATCATAGTTCTTTTTGATATTTTAAAGCTAAAACTCATGATAGAACTGATTAGAATGTTCAACTAATATCTCATCTTCTAACATCTTTATGGAAGAGACACATTTTTCTTTTGATTGACAGGGCTAATGAGTCACATGCTAACTATTTATCTAACTGGTACACCTTGGTAAATTAGAAATCATGACCTTTCATTTGCTAAGAATTTTAAAAGCTTTCAACACTGTACCAATTTTAGTATCTTATACTTTTGCAATTGGAAATTGGGATCATAATTTTGTTTCTCCCAAGATTTGTGCATTTTAAAGTATACAGGATAAATATATAATTCTAGCATGTGGCGAACTATAGCGTTATCTCTCCAAATTAATAGTTTTTCTATTAATTTTAAGATGTGTTTCAGAATTTATTTTTTATTTTTTATTTTTGTGGGACCCTCGCCGGAAGCTAGGAAATGAACCTGTGCTGCAGAGGCTGCGGGCAGCCTCACAGCTCAGCGGTCAGCGGTCAACCGCCGTTCAACCGCTGCCCTCAGAATTTTTTTTTTTTTGACAAACTAAGAGAAAATACCCACAAGTTAATATTTTATCATTCTCAAAAAGCTTTGTTTTGTTATCATATGGGTATGTTTTTCCACCCTTACCCCAACTGAGGCTTGAATTTGTGGTTAGAGGGTGAGGCAGATGCAGAGAAAGGCTTCAGTTACTTGCCTCCCACTCATTTCACATTTATTGTGGTGTTCTCAAACGCCGAAAGAGTGAGTGGTGCTGGGAAGTCTAGTGGGCCTTGCCTTTTTAGGGTATGAATTGACATTATAATTAAGGGTGTTAAATTTTCTTAAATGTTTCTGTTAATTTAGGAACATTATGTATTGAGGATTATTTTTGATGCTAAACCACAGTTAGCATTTTAGAGTAGAGAATAAATGCTTGGGTTTCTTTATGTCACCTGACGATCATGATAAAAATGTTTACCATATTTAGTGAATATCTAAAATATTTTGGAATCTGAAATAAGATTTAAATAAAATAAATGCTTCAAGTACAAGGATTGAAATAGCACAACATATGGATTATAGTAAGTACATAACTTTTGCATTTATGCAACAAATATTTTAGTTTCCGTGATGTGTTATCAATCTGTAGGTTTTACAGTTAGTGATTAGGGTTTCTGACTTCATGGGACTTTTACTTAGTGAACATTAACAAGTAATTATCAATATTATTTGGTCACCTGGATTAATGAATACTATAATTGTTTAAGAAAACCTCTTGGAGAATACCTGAAACAATCAGATAAAAAGTGTTATTTAATTTTGTTCTTTGTTTCTGAGAAAATCTTGGTTTATAGATATAACCATAAAACTAAAGCAGAACTAAATTGCTACAATTGGTGTACTATAAACTATATTTTTTCCCCAGATGAACAATTTTCTTGGCTAACTAGCTTCAGTTTCCTTAGTGCTACAAAGTGAATTTCTTCATAAAACTAAAAATTCCATCTGTTTTAGACAATTTTTTTCTTCTAAATCTAAAAGCAAAAAAAAAAAAAAAAAAAAAAAAAATGAGTAAGCTGTACTTCTTTAAAATCCTAGCATAAAGAGAAACAGTTTTGTAGTGTTAAGAACAGAAAGCTAGGAATTCACATTCCATAGTTTATTTCTTGACACTCCAATTTCATAGGTGAGCTTTCATGAGTCATTTAATCTTAATCTGACTCAGTTTATCCAACATAAAATCTAGAAAATGCAGCAGTTTTAATGTAAACAGAACGGTTGACTTTTTGGGGGGTGCTCACTGAAATGCATCCATCTATATTCTTTTTGCATACAGTGAGAAAAGATCTTATTGTTAAAATTAAATCATTCTCAAATCACACAGGAAACGTTCCTGAATACAGATTTATTAGTCGATATACATTTTGATAAATGTAGAAGTGCCAAAAAGCAATGTCTTTTTTTGCATTAGTAGCTAAAGTTTTTCAGCTTGGATTTCAGTGTTTATCATTGGCATCAGTTTGGAAAAAAGTTGGGGAATAAAGAGTTGGAATCCTTGTCATCCTGGCCCTTGAGAATAGCACATGAAGTACAATGAAGCAATTTGAGCCCCACCCCTCCACCAAACATCAAGTGCGTTAAAAAAATGTTTTCATGCTAAGCATCTAATATTCTGTGTTAGACGTATTTTTTTTAAAGATTTATTTATTTATGCATATAAGAACTGAGGTACAGGCCAGAGGTATGGGGAGATGAGGAGATTCACCAGAGACACAGTGGGGAACAGAACAGGCAGATAAACTGAAATACACTGCTAAGGGGATCAGTGGGTGAGACAGGAGAGGTCTGCTGCGCCATGTGGGTAGCTCCCTGGCAGGCTAAGGATCGAACTGGTGCTGCAGAGGCTGTGGATGGCTTCACAGTGCTGTGCTTATCCCCTTGCACCACCAGGGAGGCCCTAGCCATATATTCTGAGGGGAATTGAGGCAAGAGGAGTTGTAGAACAAGAGTTAATGTCTGAAGATCATTTAGTTATACTTTACTTATTAGTTCCTATCAAGTAACAAAAGCTTTTAAAACCCTCTGGAATTATATGTAAAATTCTCCATTTAAGGGCATAGGTACATTTTTTTCTGAAGAGGCTGTCAATAGCTTTCTTTGATTTTTTTAAAATGTGTTACTCAAAATATGTTTTGGCCTTTGGGAAACTAGATTTTGGGTGACTACAGACTTAGAATACATATATTTACCAGTGTCTTTAGAAATTTTGGCTATGATGCTGAGAACTTCTGTTGGAGAAAGCTAAAACACATACTACTGGCGTGAAGCGTACCTAATGGGTGTATTTGTACATAGCTATTTGTAATCATTAATTTTCTTTAGTTGATCATGAAATGTCTCTGAATTCTCTTTTAGGACATGTATATCTTTGGTATCTTTTACAAGTTTCATAGACCGCTGAGTGATATAGTAAAAGATATATTGGTAAAACTGACAAATTGTGATAGAAAGCTTTAAAAACACTAAAAATGATATTGAAAGATAAAATGATTATACTAACATAATTAAGTCAAACACCCATTTTTGTATTTATTTTAATTATTTGTATTTGAAGGAAAGCTATTTTGATTAGAAAGTTAAAGTTAAGAGTATGATTTTTGGAAATATATCAAGATATATATTATTTCTGGTGTCAGAAAAACAATATATCAGATTGTTGTGATACTTAATACACAATGATTCGTATCAAGAGTGTGGCAAGTAGGTTAATAGTGGAGAATAAACATGATTCTATCTTATCCTGTTATTACATTTGTCATTTGTATTGTTATGTGACAGTACTATACATTTTATAAAGGATCCTTTTAAAGAACAAAAATAAATTTCTAATGGCTTAAATGTCATTGACTTTAAGTTGGAAATGAAACAGTATCTATATTCTAATATTGTTCTTCTTATGGAAATGTCAAAACTGTCCTCATTTTCTTTCCCTCAGAGGAAAATTTGCTGTGGTTAGACAGTGTATATCAAAAACTACTGGCCAAGAATATGCTGCAAAATTTCTCAAAAAAAGAAGAAGAGGACAGGATTGCCGGGCAGAGATTCTACATGAGATTGCTGTACTGGAATTGGCAAAGTCCTGTCCCCATGTGATTAACCTTCATGAAGTCTATGAAAATACGAGTGAAATCATTTTGGTACTGGAATAGTAAGTATATACTCTATTGCATTTGAGTAAGTTATTTTAATTGATGGAATAAGAGAACTAGAAATGACAAAAATATGGCATAATTTGTAAGATTCCTTTTGATAACATATTAGAGCAACCAAGTTTATGTTCAAATATTTTCACAAGTTTAAATATACAGCCTCAAATACATATTGAAGGACCAAATAAAAGAAACATATGCCAGAGAATATTTGAGGAATGCGGTAAATGAGTATTCTTTCATTGCCAATGGGACAGAAAATTGATTTTTTTTTGACAAAATAATCTGATAAATAGGTTAAATGATTTTGTGTGTGATGATATAAGTTTCTTACTCTATCACATCAGGTGACAGTGAAGTCGGACAGATTCATTATTGGCTAAGGTGGAATCTGCCAGCCCTCCCTATTGTAAGGGACATGTCCTCTTTTGTAATTAATACATAATCTATGTAATTATATTTTGAAAGCTTGTGAATATTTCTTTAATAACTTTTCATATATTGATTTCAGTAAACATTGATGCTGCTTATTTGAGTCAATTTTATAATGAATGTCAGAAAATGTTGATCTCTAATTGTTTTTTCCTTCTAAATTTATTAAACCATCACTCTTCTTTAAGAACCGCTCTCACTTTTCAATATCACTGTGAATTTATGGGATTTTTAAGTTAATGAATCATAATCAATTTCTGTCATTTTTAATTACCAAATCTATCCTGTGGTACCCTTTCAAGCTACTCCCGTGGTCTTTATGTGATCTTAGTGCTGTTTGAGGAGTTTCTTTATGGCATACCAAGATATGCAGGATGACTTTTTGTGTTTTCTTTACCTTAGACCTGTTACCAGCTGTGTGTCCAAGAAATTTTGGTTCTTTTTAGTGGAGAATGGTGTTTGGAAACCAAGATAATAGGTGTTTGACGTGCTCCTTACTAGTTCAGTATCATTATTTCTAGGCCATTTCCAAGAGTAGCATTAGGAAATAATGTTCTTTTAAAAACCATGAGTTTGTTTTGATAATTCCTGTTTAAATCTGCCCCATTGAGTTCTTGATCACCACTCACATTTCTACATTTTTTTAAAAAAGATTTATTTATTTTTATACAAGACCTGGGGTACAGGTTAGAGGTATGGGAGGGTAAGAGGATTCACCAGAGACAGAGCAGGGAACAGAACAGGCAGACGGACATGAAAGCACTACTGAGGGGAGCAGCAGGTGCGACAGCTTCACAGCACTGTGCTCAAGCCTCTGCTCCAACAGGGAGGCCCACATTTCCACATTTGTATCTCCCTTCTCCCATGGTCAGAACCTGGGTTTTCATATTTACACACTCATTTGCTTTAAATCACAATACACACAAAAATTGCTTAAACTTAACAATATGAATGACTTAGTAAAAGTTCCACTTTTTTTGCCAATTTTTTTTTTTTGTCTGTACAATACAGCACACTAAGGGTGTACAATCAGAGCTATATGGTTATATACATGTGTTTCTGTTCATACTGAATTTTTGGATTTGATTTTTCAATCCTTTAATTTTTTTGAAATTATGAAAACAGATTACATGATTTAAAACTCAAAGATACCTATAAAGATATATGTGCCTATCCTTTCTATTCTCTTCTCACTGAAGCTTTATAGGTTAACCATATTTGTTTCTGGATCATTCTTCATGTGTTTCTTCTTGCAGATACATATAGATATATATTTTTTTTTTAAAAAAATATTTATTTATTTATGCATACCAGACCTGGGGTACAGCCCAGAGGTGTGAGAGTGGTGGTGAGCGGCTTCACCAGAGATAGAGTGGGGAACAGAACAGGCAGACTGACTGAAATACACTGCTGAGGGGAGCAGCAGGTCAGACAGGAGAGGTCAGCTGTGCCATGTGGGTTGCTCCCTGGCCAGCTGGGGATCAAACTCATGCTGCAGAGGTTGCAGATAGCTTCATAGTACTGTGCTTAGCTTAACCCTTGCACCACCAGGGAGGCCCCATAAATATATATATATTATTTTAATGCCCAGTCCACAGGAAATCATTTCATTGCCAGTTATAAAGTCTAAATGATTTTTTAGCCTTTTGGACTATTTGAAAAGTAATGTAAATACTACACTTTTGGAAGGTAGTGGTAGCCCTCTTTATAAATTGGGGAAAATTTGAGGATAGTGATTCATCCCATCCTCATTCTCCATGAGACAATGACATCTATATCAAGTGTTTTAAAAGCATTTGCAGAGTTTAATAAAAAATACACAAAGCTTTTTTAAAAATCCACATAGAAGATGGTAGTATCTAATTGGACGCATTAAATTTTAATGCTTAGTTTTAAGCTAACTAAAATTGATTATAAAAAATAATTATTAATCCTTGAAAAACATGGGATAAGAACTTTGTCCTAGAAATAGCAAAGTTCAAAGGGGAAATAGTTCATATTTACCAGAGACTGTTTTGTGAGATCATATGAGAGAGGAGTTTTGTCAAAAATTACCAATTTATGTTGTCTATTAAAAAAGTAAATGTTATGAACCCAATAGAATATGACAGGGACTATAACAAAATATGTAAAACTAGAAAAACCTCACTTTCTAAAATAAGCTTGTTAATCACCAAATAATGCATTTTAATATAGTGAACAGTTTCACCAATAAAATATGTTGGGCATTTACTTTATGGAAGACACTATACTAAACACTATTTCTGTATTCTTATTTGATTTTTAAAGCAATCCTCCAAAAGGGAGACTTATATTCACTTCACATATTCTAGTTTGGAGGCAGGAAATACTCTTAATTTCTTTCCATTCTCAAATTCCATGGGCTTGGTTAGCACAGAAATATTATTTTAAAAGAGACCCTTAATATAAAAGTTTAAAGTTCATTCATTTTGATCACTAAGAAATATTTGCCTTAAGAATATTTACTATCACATTCCACAAATCTGGATATATTTGTATTTTATGAGCAAAGAAGATACTCTTTGTTGAAAATCATGACTCTCTAGTACATAAGAAAATCCATCATTTTGGGTAGGAAAATTGGTTTTCTGATTTTAATCTTTTATATATTAAATATATTTTCTTTGTGTTACATCTTCTTAAATTTTTAATTGATGTTTTTAATTGAGGTAACATTGGCTTACATTATTGTTAGTATTTGCTAAGTATATGATCCCCCTTAGGCATCTCCCCCATAGTACACCCACCACCCCAGCACTCATGGGGTGTTTTTTATTGTGCTTTCATCCCTCTTTGTTCTTACTCCTATGGGCATCTTTCTCAGGGCATTATCTCTCTCCCTATTCATTTTTATTTATTTATTTATTTTTTTGGTAAGAACACATTTCTTTTTTTTTTTTTTAAGATTCTTTTTTTTTTTTTTTTTTAAAGATTTATTTATTTATTTATACAAGCACTGGGTACAGTCAGAAGCGCGGGAGGGTGAGAGAATTCACCAGAGCCAGAGCGGGGAGCAGAGCAGGCAGAAAGATTGAAGTACACTGCTGAGGGGAGCAGCGGGCAGCAGGAGAGGTCTGCGTGCCATGTGGGACCCTCCTCCGGTGGCCGGGGAGCAGCTGGGGATCGAACCGGCGCTGCAGAGGCTGCGGGCAGCTTCGCTAACCCAGCGCTCAACCGCTGCGCCATGGGGGAGGCCCTCCCTATTCATTTTTAAACTCTTGCAGCAAACTATAAAAGTCAGACAGATTTAGATGGTATATTGCACATATGTTTACATGACTGTAACTGTGTAACTGTGCTAAAGTACTGTTAGCACACACTTACATATAACACATATACAAATAATAAGCAAATGGATTAGAATACTCCAAAATTCTAAGTTTTTGTCCCTTTAAGGATAAATTCTTCTAATAGAGACAGAAAGAGTAGAAGTACCTGAGTGTGCCTTGCGGGACAATAATTATAATAAAAGTGACTTTTCTGACTACAGAGATATATTTTTCTTCTCTGAAGTTGCTGCTATGTCTGACTTATTTTAGCAAAGCATCTGGGTGTCACCTACTCACTGTTTCCACTTATGCTTCCAATTTCTGCTGACTTCTGCTATCTGTTTCTTATGTTAGCATTTCTTTCCTTCCTCTTAACTCTTCCTAATTTTCCATTTCCCATGGCTCCACCTCTGTCCATACTCTTGTGGGAAAATGACAGTTCTACAAAAGACATTGGTCAGCTTGCCAAACAGAAAGAAAGAAACAAAATTGAAAACAAAATTGAAACAAACAAAAAAATCCTTAGGCTACCTTTTTTTCTGGTTATAAAAGTCATCCTGTTCTTGTGCTAAGTTTCGGTTTAAAAGTACTTATTTTTTTCATCTGTGAAATGAGAATAACCACCTACCTCACATGATTCTCATGAGGATGAGAAGAGATGATATCTATACATAAGCAAAATGAAGGAATAAAGCAGCACTCTGCACATACTGTTAGCTGTTATTTTTATTGCAGTGTTAAGGTGGACTATAATATTATTGAATTACAAAGCAATTTTATTTTATTCACTATCATTATTTAAGTGATAATACCTACTATATTCTTGTTATTTACTTTCTTTCTTCAAGATCCCGCCCACGTTGTGTGCTCTTATTTAAGTCTTTAAATGCGCACACACAACCACACGTGCGCACGCACACACACACAAGTTTAGATGATTGTGTGTCTTTTTACTCAGCAGATGTAGTGTTTAAAAATAATCATTTTTAGGTCTATGATCTTTCAAGTTTCTATTGTCTGTTTTTATTCCAGTGCTGCAGGTGGAGAAATTTTCAACTTGTGTTTACCTGAGCTGGCTGAAATGGTTTCTGAAAATGACATTATCAGACTCATTAAACAAATACTTGAAGGAGTTTGTTATCTACATCAGAATAATATTGTACACCTTGATTTAAAGGTAATGTATCATGTGATTTGAAGCAACACAGCACTTGTTCCTTCTCTGCTCTTGCTGTGCACATTGCAAGCTGGTACTGGTAGGAAACAACAGTCAGATCAACTTGTCTATACTGCCCTGGGCATGCTCTTTGTTTACTTATGTGCTACATGGACATAATTTTATTTTGGTAGAGAGGAGAAGGCTGCATATATGAGCAGCTCAAATTAATCACTGGACTCTTAAAAACCATCATTCCTGTATATTCATTCTACTCCACTCCACTCTTAATGCTACATCCTGCACCTTCTTATCTTATAAAACTTTCTACCTCTAAAATAAAATACTGAATGTAATCTCCATCTCTGAAGATAACTTCCAGCTAGTCTTCATTCATCTTTTTCTTGAGACTTTCAATGTTTTGACTCTTCCTATGCCCCTCTCTCTTACCCAAGTCCTGAAATACCACTTCAGCCTCTCATGTTACAATCCTTTATCTTTTCTCCATAGGATCTTTCAATATGAACCCATCTGTCTCTTAGTTATTGAACATTGGTCTCTTTTCTTTCTATATAGCCTCCTTGCATAAGCCTTTGACCTCCACTACCACTTTCAAAAGAATGACTCTCAAATCCTCACCTATAACCTGGGCGGCTCTCCTAAATTCCAAAACATTTTTTCCAACTGCTGATTAGATACCATTTAATTGATGTACAAACTTTAAAAATTACATGTCTCAGATGTATCATTTTCCCTTTTGTCTTACCCCTTTTTTAAAAGAAAAAAAGAAGAATCTATTCTTCTTTGTTGTCCCTTCCCCTCCCTACCCCGTAACTATCTCCCTGTCATGTCCTTGACTGATGATATTGGAAAACTGGCAACATGGTTAATAGCAGGGTACTCATACCCCAACTAACTTCCTGTTGAGTCTTTTTTTTAAATGTTTATTTATTTATACAAGAACAGAGGTACAAGCCAGAGGCACAGGAGAGTGAAAGAATTCACCAGAGACAGAGAGGGGAGCAGAACAGGCAGACAGACCGAAATACTCTGCTGAGGGGAGTAGCAGGCGAGACAGGAAAGGTCTGCCCTGCCATGTGGATATCTCCCTGACCAGCTAGGCATCGAACCCGCACTGCAGAGGCTGCGGACAGCTTCACAGTGCTGCAATCAATCTGTTGAGCCACGGGGGAGGCCCTGTGTCTTTTTTTTTGCAGAAGACAAACCAAGTGTATTACATAACATCTCATTGCACTTAAAATCAGGGCTGTCATATAAACTTGGCTTTCTATATTATCATGCCTGTAGTTGACAGGAGAAGCTAGTACATTTACTTCATCTCATGTAATGGACCTCTCTGTAATGGACCTCAGTAAATAGCCTAAGTATAAAGCAAAGGTACACAGTTCCAGGAGACAATGAGAAAAAACCTTCTCACTGTACCATGCATCCACTGTCTAAACACCTTCAGTCAGGCCCAGAACCATATCACTCTACTGAGTCATTTTCTGTTTCTGGAACTTTTGCTTTCCCCCCCTCCCCCACGTCTTCTTTAGTGCTGTTCCATCATGCACATTTCTAACTGGCATATCCTATTGACCTTTATGCATCATCTTTAAGCTACAGCTTAAGCATCATCTCTATGACAACGCTTTATTGAACATTATAAAGGGCAAAATTAGTCTTGACTATATATTGAGTTTTCTCACTCATACCCAACTTACCTATATATATATTTAATTTCTTTCTCCTCCAAACTAGCAATCCTCTTTAAGTGTATTTTTTACTGTATGTTTCATTGAATCTGTAGCTGCTCCTAAATAATAGTTTAGTAAGTTTCTGATGATTGACTCAACAAATGCATAATAGCTAACATAAAGAGTCTACTTTATTATAAGACTAGTATTCTTTTATTGTCGTATATTGCTTTTAATTTTTTGTTGTCGTGCTCTGTTTAGCCACAGAATATATTATTGAGCAGCACATACCCTCTTGGGGATATAAAAATTGTAGATTTTGGAATGTCTCGGAAAATAGGCAATGCATGTGAACTTCGGGAAATCATGGGGACACCAGAATACTTAGGTAAGAATGTCCTTTTATTTTCTATACTCTTTTAAAATTTATTAACTGAAAATGATACATCTGTAAAACTATAATTTAGAACAAATATATCTAGAATATATTTGATTCAAGTATTTTAATGCTTTGAAATTTAGTTGTGACACATTTAAATGAAATGTAGGATTATTGAGACATTTGCAACAATTCACAGGGTACTGGGCATATAAATTCAAAAGTTTAATGTTTGTAATTCTAGATAACACAGTTCACAGAAGTATGTGAAAAAGTTATAGGTGATGTAATGGAGGCTGACATATATCTCTCAAAGGCTGTATTTACAAAATATTAGGGTTTAGTAAACAATTTCTCTTTGGAAAAATTGTGAAACTGTATTGTGATAAAAAGAAAGTTTTTCAATTATTCATTCTAGTTTGGACTCTACTAATTTGAAATACATGACACTGCTTAGGAAGTATAGAGAATTTAACACTTTTTAAAAATCTTGGCAGCTGGAGACAGTGGGAAATCATTGCTTTGGTAGTTTAAGAGAGATATTTAATCTATTTGAAAATCAAAAGCTCTTCCATAAGCATAATTTGCTTATAAAGTAATTGTATATGATTCTATTTACTCTGCAAAGAAAACCTTAAGTAATGTAATAAAATAATGCGAAATAATTCATTATTAAAACTAAATTTTTTAAGTATCCTAGTTTCTATCATTTCATTGTTACTATTATTATTTTTTTTTCTTCTGAGATTAATTATTCCAAGAATATTATTTGTGCTTTTAAACTATCTGCTTATAAATTTGGTTAACATTAAATTGTTTAAATGTCCAGTCACAGGATCATCAATACTTTGCTAAATTTCTATCAATCCTATATTAGTAATTGCTTAAAATTAAACCCTGTTTAATATAATTTTCATGTTTTTAAATTTGATGTAATATTCATTTTTTTAAATTTAAATTTTTCAGTATTGAATTTTGTTTTCTGTTTTCAGCTCCAGAAATCTTGAACTATGATCCTATCACCACAGCAACAGATATGTGGTAAGATTTCATGATCTAAATGCCTTTATTAAAAGTTGGGTGGTGTATAGCCTTTGATTCCAAATGTAAATAAATAAGGCTTTCTTGAAAAGATTTTTATTCAGGTATCATTATTATGCCACAAGTAAACATTTACCTGTCCTTTTAAAGTATTATTGATCCTAGAGGAAGACTCGGGCTTAGTAAAAGAATAAAATAGTTGTTATGTGCTGTGCTATATGTTCTGTCTTGAAGGTAAAATGCCTAATGAGCATGGAGGAAGCTGCAGAGAAGCACTAGATTGGAGATATTTGATCTAGGGTTAGAGCTAGGAAGGTATTTGTTAAACAGGAAAATGAGGTCAGGTCTATGCAAAAGTTTTAATTTTCAAAGGTACGTCTCTAGAATTTTGTGAGTTTTTGTGGTTAGTACAGAGAGACTGTCATAAGCTGAACTGGAATTGATATTGGAACTTTAGTGGGGAACTAACTTCATAGGTCAAGTGAGAGAGTTTAGACTTATTCTCTGTATTCCAAGGAACTGCTAAAGAGTTTGCCAAGGAAATTGTCCTGTGGCTAAATAAGTAGATGGAACATGTACTTCTGGCACCTGAACAGTGGCCTTGTCATTAACAAATTTAAGACTTTGAAAAGTTTTGCGAAAAAAAGCTGCCTTCCCATCTCTGTACTTTGCCAAACTTGTAGACTATTTTTGCTTAGAACTCCTTGTTTATGTCTCACAGATCATTACTGTGTCACTGGACACCATTTAGGAGATGCTGCCCTTTGCGCAGCTTTGTGTACTTGGTAACAGGTGTCTTTGTGAAAGGCAGACTATAGGTATAATGATGTATATTTAATACATCATATTTATATTATAATTATATTACACATGCATTTGTGTTTCCCTTATAGTCTTTCTGTGAGGCAGACCTTAAGATAACATATTTAGTTTTCATAATGTATTATAGGAACTTTGAAAAGCAATGTATTTATAGTTTAAGTTTGTATTTTAACTATACAAGTTTTGAGGATAGGGATATGTTGAGTGCTCATTTTATATAAATATTTTAAGGTTAACACATGTTTTAAGTTTCCCTCTTCTCCCTTACTTGTTTTTCAGGAATGTTGGAGTAATAGCATATATGTTGTTAACTCATACATCCCCATTTGTGGGAGAAGATAATCAAGAAACATACCTCAATATTTCTCAAGTTAAAGTAGATTATTCAGAAGAAACTTTTTCATCAGTTTCACAGCTGGCCACAGACTTTATCCAGAGCCTTTTAGTAAAAAACCCAGAGTAAGTAATAACATTAATTTCCTTAAATACTTTACAAAATAAATATGTTTACTAAGAAAAATACATTTTAAAATGATAATGAAATTATTAAACATATGATCTTAGATTTCAGGTAAAATGGAGAGAGAGCTTGTATGAAAGATCATTGCTTAACAAATCTGTAACTTCAAACACAGAATATACCAAATATAGAACAGGTAATTTTAGAATGAAGAGATTTGGGTGATTTCTCTTAACCTGTTAGTAATCCCCAAAATTCCCTAAAATAATTAGAAGTGAGTTTATAATATACATGACTTGCTGTGCTAAGACTTTATTTTAAATGATGTGTAGTTTATAGTTATATGATAAGTACAAATTACTGATTGTCAAATCTTTAAGGGTCAGGTGTTCTTTGATTGCCTAATAAAGAAGGGACTTGAAACTTTGACTCAGGACTCTTACCTCATTGATTGGCAATGTCAAAGCAGATAACAGAAAAAGCTGACCTCCTTTTATCCAGCATCAGCCTTATATTACTTCAAAATAAAGTAAATTTTATACCTAATGACTGTACATAATGCAGCAGGTGTGATATAGTGGGTCCTGGTTATATTACTTGTAAGTTTTTATATGTCTGGCAATAATTTAATCTCCTGCATGATTTCGAAAAGATTTCGCTTTGATGATTCATTGCCCAATCCCCATAAACTTATCAGTTTAAGGGGGAAAAAAACACATATTTAAATAATTCTTTTATCAACTTAATGTCAGTCTGAACAAACTCTCAACTGGCAATATTTTGGATAACGGACGGTTATATTTTGTAGAAATAGTAATAATGCCATTGTTTCTTCTTAAAAGCAGTTTTCGTTTTCTTAACTTTTTGGCCTCAATTCTAAAATTTTTATAGTGGGCACAATAATTTTTTTTATTATCAGAAAGAACTAAACTTAAATTCAAAGACTGAGGAAACATGTTCTAATGATGACAGTTGTGTTAAGAGTCAAATTATGGGCATATAGGTGTTTTCCTCTCTTCTGAAATATTGTGATATTTGTCCATATTGCTTTCATAATAGACAATAAAGCTTAAAAACTGAAAATGTTTAATAATATCATTGGAAAAGTAGCCTTTGTTTACAAGATTTTGCTTTTCAAATTTCTACTTTTAAGAATTCAAAATGATAGCAGAATATAAATTATTTAGATATATTTTTCTCTGAAAGGGTTATAAACCCATCAGTATTTTATAATTTTACTAATTTTGACTTGTGAGGCTAATATTTGTTCTCAAGTTTATTGACTAAACAGTCTCATTTTAAGCTCCATGGTAAATTGAATTTTCAGGACTTGTCGAAATTCTATGTACTACATAGATAATCTGTGTACTACAGTTTTCCTATTATTCCTCCGTACTATTTGGATTTCATATCATAGTTTATGTTATTTTTATAATAAATGAAAAACAGGTCAGTAATACATCAAATTGCTGACATTTCCAACTAGATTTGTAGTTTTTAATTTTCTCTTGGTGCTTTATTTCAAAGGAAAAGACCAACAGCAGAAATCTGCCTTTCTCATTCCTGGCTACAGCAGTGGGACTTTGGAAACTTGTTTCATCCTGAAGAAACATCCAGCTCCTCTCAGATTCAGGATCATACAATATGGTCCCCTGAAGACAAGAATTCTAAATCCTCTTGTAATGGAACATGTAGTGATCGAGAAGATAAAGAGAATATCCCGGAGGATAGCAGCATGGTTTCGAAAAGATTTCGCTTTGATGATTCATTGCCCAATCCCCATGAACTTGTGTCAGATTTACTTTGTTAGCACTTTTCTCTTCGACTCATTTGGACTGATTTTAGAATTTGAAATCCACTCCAGTATGAGACTGTGGTTTGTAACTTCGTATATGGAAGTAACTTCGTATATTGTAAAAGCACCTTTGCATAAAAGAATTTAAGAAAATATTTTAATGCTAAATTACTGCTTTTATAATAATATACCATGTAACATCCTGAGAGATCAACTGTGTGAACAAGAAAATATTTAAATATATGACCAAAAAAATTGTGTATGTGAGTTCACATGTTAATGAGAATTCAAGTTCAAATGGATTTTTCAAAACATTTTAGATATCAAGAAAAAATTGGTTTGATGGTTTGAGTTATATTGTGGTTGATATAAACTTAGCAAAATGAAGAATTTAATTGACTTACTAAGTTAATTCCTATACAAGGCCTCTATTGACAAGATTTTATTTAAGGTGGCAGTACAAAGCTAGGTAAGAATATATACTATTTTATATATGCTCAAGAGGCATTTACATTTGAAAAATGGTTTTCTATTGTGAATATTTTGAAATTGCATACGTTTTCCACTATATATGTATATAGCCTGCTATGTGAGATGGTCTTTTTAACCAGAACAAGGAAGGGATTAGAAACCTATCAGGGAGATTCAGTAAAAGTTGTGGCAGAGAAAAAATATATTACTTTTTTAAAAAAAAATTCTGTAAGATGGGGAATAGATTGGGCACAAGTGTAGAGGATTTCATCCTCTGGAATTTCTGGAGTAGGATATACATAAAGGGCAAAACTGAATGCACTCTATTTTTGGTCAGAGTCATATTTATTAATTAACTGTAGAAGAAAATGCTGACAAACATAGGCAACTTAGAGAATTTTAGATGTCTTCTAAGTCTTAAAATACAAGCCAGTCACTTAAAGATCTAAAAATATGCATAAAAATAACACAGCACCTTTGAACCTAGGGTATGAGTCAGCAGATGAGTGTCATCATGTGACATAGTGATATCAAGCTCTCCTAATGTTCTTGTATAAAATTCTTAGTGAGTGATGAGACTCACCTTCAAAATGGCCTTTAATGGCTTTTTTGCTGGGACCAACGCAAACAAGAATCCAGGAGAGCAGACCATTTGAATAAGCCTGTGTCATATTTAGTTCTAATAGGAGAGAAATTTACTCCTTTTTGGGTGTTTGACTTTCCACCTGGTAACTATTAAAAATATGCTATGTTATTATATTAGGACAATTATAATCTCCTGACCATTTTACTGTATCAAAAGAAATATTTTGACTAAAAAACCTTTGAAGTTTCCTCCCTTTGAATTATACATTACTCTAACAACTGTTAGCTTCTTGAAATTTTGATAAGATCCCAGATAATTTTGAACTATTTTTAATAACCATCAGGTCACTTTATTTGGCCAACTGGTGAATGACTTTTTTATCTCCAGTATTTTTAAAGAGGTTTTGTTTTCAGTGTGTGTATATGTTTATATGTATAATTGTATGTATATGTGTATAGATAGATGAAATATGGTCATTTTGGAACTTTTCCATAGAGATTCTTTAGTATGTTGTGATCAACTCAGGTGCCAAAGGAACTTCTTATGACATGTAAATATACATTTCAATTCCTTAAGAAGTAATTTGTTGGTTCTATAAACTAGCCATCGCAGCAGCTAAATTGGGTTCTTGTATATGTAAAACAGTTAAGTTTTTTTCTAAATTGTTGATTTTTCATTTATTTGCCTTCAGTATTAAAGCTAATACAGGTGAAGTGAATTAGAAATTGATTACATTTCCAAAAGACCATATTATACATTTAAATTTTTAGAGGAGCTATGCCATACTAAAAAATAAAAATCAAGAAAAGTTTGAATTGTGAACTAGTTCTTAAGAATATTTTATATCCATTTTGTTTAATTCTTTTTTTTTAAAGATTTATTTATTTTTATACAAGAGCTGGGGTACAGACCAGAGGCGTGGGAGGGTGAGAGGATTCACCAGAGACAAAGCGGGGAGCAGAGCGGGCAAATGACCAAATACACTGCTGAGGGGAGCAGCAGGTGAGACCCACCGTGTGGGTCACCTCTCTGGCTGGCCGGGAATCGAACCTGTGCTGCAGAAGCTGTGGACATCTTCCCAGCACTGTGCTCAACCTGCTGTGCCACCAGGGAGGCCCCATTTTGTTTAATTCTAAGGAATCTCAAAATAGTTTATATACAGGGCCTCCCTAGTGGCACAGGGGGTTAAACACAGAGCTGTGAAGCAGTCCGCAGTTCTATCGCCAGCCGGCCAGGGACCAACCCACATGGCGCAGCAGACGTCTGTCTTGCCTGCTGCTCCCCTCAGCAGTGTATTTCAGTTGGTCTGCCTTTTCTGTTACCCACTCTGTCTCTGGTGAATCCTCACACCCCCCGCACCTCTGGCCTATACCCCAGCTCTTGAATGCATAAATGGATAAATCTTTAAAAAAAATAGTTTATATACTTCCCTTTTTTAATAGAATTAACAGAGTTGTAAATTTCCAAACCCTTTTTCTAACAGCTTTTATTGTAAAAAAAAAAAAAAGGAAGTAGTGGTTCCACAAACAGTAAAAAATCCATTTTTTTTATTTATAAGAATGAATTTAAATATTTTTACTGTTTCAATTGTGAAAGCAAGCCTATCTGTAGAGTTAGGAAATGACTCAATTCTTAATCCTTTTCTCAAAAGATTGAAAGCAAATGTCTGTCAAAAACAGTTGATGTTTTTCACTAACATAGGAACCAAGAAAGCCACTGTGAGGGAATATGTCAATAACAAACACATCTGAAGATGATTCATGTTAAATTGTGATGAATTTGTAAAATTTAATTTGCTTTTGGATAGGATTTCTGGATAAATGGGGTTAAAACAGATCCGATGTCAGTGACAATTACAACGATCATTTTAGTTCCCCCCCAATTAAGTTAACCTGTGAGCAATAAAACTATAATTGCACTTTAAAGAAATGAGCAGTACCTGTTCTCCAGCCTATAATGAGGTAAAGTGCCTATGCCAGAATATAAATCAACACATTACTTCTTTTATCAAGGAAGTCTCATGAAAAAATATCAGCTGAACTAGTGTGACTAGAGACATACTTGACTTCTGGCACAAGCTCTTTCATTTTAGATGGGTAGGAAATAGTTAACAGACTGCAAATAGCAAATAGTTAACAGACTTGCTCTAAGAACATTTACACAAATGTTGATATTTCATAACTGTTTACATTTCTTCTGTTTATTTTTTAATTTTCAGTTTAATATCAGATGTGAAACTTCCATATTCATTGTTGTATGAAAAGTTGTATTTTAATTTCAAATTGTATTAAGTTCTCTGACTTCCAATTTGGAGAATAATCAATGTATAATTTTACAAGGTTTAAGAACTTTAATTGTAAATTTTAAACAGTGTGACTGCCTTGCATTTTCACTTTCATTAAATAATCCATGGCTTTAAAGCATGTAGACCAACATTATTATGAATACTCCATTTTGAAAAAAACTTATTATATCAATTTAATCATCCTTTTGTGTAAAAACTAAGAAGCACTTTTTAACACTTGTGTTTATCTTTTGCTTTAAAGTGCTTCTAAATTTGTTGTTCTTAAAAGCAAACCTCCTTGAGCCACGCCGTCTTTGAACTTCCCTACACATACATTTATAAAGGGTCTATTGAAAAGGCCACATAAATGTGAAAACAAAATATTCCCTGGTAAAAATAGATACTTTTAGAAACTGCCAATGGATGACAGAGCATTACATGTTGCATGAAGATAAGGGATTCTTCAAACTTATAATTGGGTCATGGGCTAAGGTATAGTCCCCATTTTTACAGTAATTGTGTTCTCTAAATTTCCAATGAACACTGAAACATTGCTCTTAGGGAAGAAATACAGGATCAGTTTCTGGCAAGCTTCTGTTCATAACGTAACCAATCAATATATAACCTTGGTATATATGTAATTAATATAATTGATTCATTAACATTGAATTCATGTGGCCAATATCACTGTCATGTTTGAATGAAGCTTATCTAACAGGTATTTTTTTCATAAGGCAAGTTATAGCCTTCTGTGTAGGAATACCACATGTTCCTTCAGCATTATGCTTCAGGGCAACTGTCAACAGTGAAATCGCCAACAAAAAGTACAAAAATCTAGAAAATATGACACTAAATAGACTTCAAAAGGAACATTTTTCTTACAGTTGAAAGAAAAAAGCAGAATACCACCTGGGTCAACTTCAACTAAGAATGTGTGTCAGGCAACTCAAATTTTTCTACACTGTAAACATTTCTGCAAATGACTGAAAACAAATCGCATGTTGATTTGGGGTTTACAAATTTTAGAGAGTGAATTCACAGAAATAGAGTCCTCGAATAATCAACTATATATCACCATGTATGAAGTGTGATGAGACAGATGCTGTGCTGAACTTGACAATTGGATCTATAGGAAGGAGAATTTTCTACCTGTTGGAACTTTTTAATGTGAGCACTTTCCTTTAGAAAATAAAAAATCTTGTTTTTCTGGCAAATAGGCACTCCCAAAATGAACTCTAACCCTAATTTTCTTCCTGGGCACCCAAGTCATATATATTTTTTGCACATAAGTATCCTTAAATATAAAATAGCTCTAAGGAAAATCGTGATCATATTTTCCCTTTCTGTATTCCATCCTTACCCAAACATCCTGGCTTCATGTCACCTTTCTTAGTTAACACAGACAGGATGACAAAATCTCAAATTGTTATTCTAAAATTTTTGTTCCTTACAGCATTTCTTTGAAATTAGTCATTGCTTTTTATCAGTTATATCTCCACGTATAGTCATCTTTTGATTCTTACTGGTTCACACTCTATCTAGATCTAGATTATCTAGATTATGTAAAGAGGGGATTACCAAGCCTTTTCTATAAAAGGCCAACTATTAAATACCTTAGAATTTTCAGGTCACAATATTTGTCATAACTAGTCATTTCTGCTGAAGTATTAAAATAGTCATAGACAATATGCAAACTATTGGGTATACCAATGGAACTGTATAAAAACAGACAATAGGCTGCATTTAGTTTGTTGACCTCATCTAGATTATTATGATGATATTCTAACTGGCCCTTTTAGCTCTAGCATGATTCAGATGGGAGAAAAGTCCAGATAGTGACCCTCATCAATACTGACTTTATCTAACAGACTTCCAAGAGGAACAGAACTGAGAAATAGTCATGAAATGTAACGATTTCACTATAATGGTGAATTCACAAGTAGCTAGAAAATAGTGAGAAAGGCAAAGTAATAGGTATATATTTAT